TATGGCAGGTCTGCTAATGGTGAATTATCACTTTTGTATACTTGTGCCATGTTGGTGTGCTGCACCCATCAACTCGTCAGTACCCATCAACTTGTCATTTACATCAGGTATAACTCTTGAGTAAGAAAACTAGGAGTTGAATTGATATGTCATACTATAGATGTCTGTTTAACTTTTTAACACACTGCCAAAGAGTTCTCCAAAGCAGTTGTACCATTTTACCTTTGACCGACAGTGATGTTCTACATCCTTGTCAACAGTCTTTTTAATCTTACTCAATCTACTAGGTGTGAAAAAGTAACTCATCATGGTTTTTGGTTTATAACAGCTTTGTTGAGATATAATTCATATACCATAAAATTCACCTTTCTATATTGTACAATTTAGTAATTTTAGTTTATTCAGAGTTGTGCAGCCATACTGTTATCTAACATTTTCATCACTCCATGAAGACACTTTATCCTCATTAATAGTCATATCCCATTTTCTTTCTTCTCTCTCCCCTGCCATCCTCCCAGCCTTTAGCAATCACTAATATACTTTCTGTTTCTATAGATTTGTCTATTTTGGACATTTTATATAAATGGGATCATATAATATGTAGCCATTGTATCTTGCTTATTTTAGCATAATGTTTTCAAGGTTTATTGATGCTGTAGTTCATTGCTTTTAATGGCTAAATTATATTCAATTGTGTGGATATTCCACATTTTGCTCATTGCTTCATCAGTCAATGGACATTTAGATTGTTTCCACTTTGGAACGATTGTGAATAATGCCACTCCAAGCATCCATATACAAGTTTTTATATGGACACATTTTCAACTTTCTTGGGTTTTACCTAGAAGAGAAATTGCTAGGTCATATGGTAACTCTATGTTTAACATTTCAAGGAATTGCCAAAGTGTTTTTTTTTTTTTTTTTTGAGACAGGGTCTCACTCTGTGGCCCAGGCTGGGGTGCAGTGGCGCAATGTCGGCTCACTGCAACCTCCCCCTCCCAGG